AAATAATTTTGAATAATCTTTTGATCACAAGAAGCTACACCATCAAATATAATTAACGAATTTTCTTTAATTTCTTCTGGTCTAATTATATCTTCAGGTTCACTATATTCTTCATATCCAATTTCTCGAATAGGTTCCAGCAAAGCACGTAAATATCTATATGTGGGTTGATGAAGACTTTTAGAATACACATAACATTTTCAAATCTTAATCCATTTGGTTGTTCAATTAACGAGAGCATACAGTTTGTCTTTCCACTTCCGCTTGGCCCAACAATTAAACATCTTTTAGAGTCACCACCAAACAAAAAACCATGTTTAAGTTTTTCATCATTTACAACTAAATCATGATTTGTTACTGGTAAGATCATGTGCTGTTTTCCAATCTTCATTTTAATGAATCCTACAGAAGACTGAGAGTATATATAGTGGGGAGTAAGTATATAAATAGCACAATGGTTAAACGCCAGCGACAGAGTTCACTTCGAAGAGGAAGAGGAATAGTAAATTCTTTGATAAACAAACTACCAATTGAATTACATATTCCGGGGTATTCCTTTTGTGGTCCTGGGACTCAAGTTGATAAGAGATTACAGAGAGGTGATAAAGGCATAAACCAATTAGACGCTGCTTGCAAAGATCACGATATTGCATATTCACAAAGTAAAGATCTCAATACTAGACACCAAGCCGATAAGATATTACAACATAGAGCTTGGGAGAGGGCTAATTCGAAAGACGCTAAATTAGGAGAAAAAACAGCGGCTTGGTTTGTAACAACGGCGATGAAAGGTAAACGCAAACTTGGAATGGGATGAAAAAACGAGCAAGAAAAACTAAAAAGAGAATTATTCGAGTACCGAAAATAAGTGGATTTTTACCTTTACTACTTCCTCTTTTATCAGCTTTAGGAGCTGTCGGGGGTATGGGTGCTAGTATTGCAAAAGCAGTAAACGATGCTAAAGCTAACCGCATACAACTGGAAGAACAGAAACGGCATAATTTAGCTATGGAAAAGAAATGCCAGGGTTTAAGTCGTAAAAAAGGGGGAATGGTTTACATTTAAGACCATATAAAGGATACGGTATCATGTCAAAAAACTAATACTACCACAACGAGCGCTTACCGATTTAGATTTAAAAAAATTTGCTAAAATATTGCAGATTCCTCATTTTAGAGGAGTGTTTACGAGAGATTCTTTACCTCGTTCAATCCATAAAAAAGAGAGCGGTATTATAAATATGGATTCAAATATAGGACCTGGGACACATTGGACCGCATATACAAAACAAAATAAGGATGTTGTATACTTTGATAGTTATGGAAACTTAGCCCCACCATTAGAGCTCATTAAATATTTCAACAGCAATGGGGATGTAAATATAATTTATAACTATGATAGAGTTCAAAGAAATTCTTACAAGTGCAGTCATTATTGTTTGAGTTTTGTATATAATTAATATAATTATAAAAAGTTTTCATTCTGAGACATTTCTTTGTTGTATAAATATGTCTTTTTCATTTACTTTAAGTGGTAACTCTCCAATTTTAAGTTATGATTTTAACCCTCCAATATATTTAGATGAAAATACAGATTATGAAATAGGATTAGTCAGTTTCAATAGTTTTAACACAATTCCAAATATTGATGAAAGCAATAATTTATTTGTATGGGGTGATAAAAATAAGCTAAATGAATTTAAAGAACCGGTTGGTGCTTATGAGTTAGATGATCTTATAGGTGTTTTAAAGAAACATATGAATGATAAAGATAAAAATGCTAAAATAGATATAATACCGGACATAAATACTTCAAAAATTTCTATTTCAAGTAATCGTATTATTTCTTTTAATAATGCAAATTCAATCGCACAAGTGTTCGGTTTTGATGTCCAAAGGCTTGATCCTGGTAAAACTTATTCATCAAATCATCCAGATAAAATTTTGAAAGTAAATTCTATAGGTATTGACTGTAGTATTGCTGAGGGTTCCTATTTAAATGGGAACCCTGTTCATATTATCCACCAATTTTTTCCGACAGTACCCAGCGGGTATAAAATAGTGGAATCTCCTCAAAATATCTTGTATTATCCTGTCAGTGTCAAGACAATCAACAAACATTACAGTAAAGATTATTGACCAGAGCGGTGGTCTCATAAATTTTCGAGAAGAAGAGATTACGGTTAGCCTTCACATTAGAAAAGTATAAAATGGTTCTATCATTTTTTCATCCACTTAAAAACTATAAAAGATCGTCCCCCCAGAACAGACAAATCAGTTTTGCAAAACCCTTTGCAATAATAACACCCATTAATAAATTTTTTTTTAACTTCGTTAGGATTTAAAGTATTAATATAATGGAAGTACTTCATGTAACCGGGCAACCTTTTAATGATACAACTATAGATGATTATCAATTTCATACATATCAACCCTTCATTGCTGGAAAACTCAATTGTAACGATGAAATTCGAATCCCCATTCAAGATTTAGATGCTTACACATTGCCATCAAAAAGTTATTTGTATATTGAAAGAAAGTTGCTTACTGATGCTGGAAAAGTACCAACTAAACTACAATTTATTAACAATGCCATAGCATTTTTGTTTCGCAAACTCCGTTATGAGCTAAACAGTGGCGTAATAGATTCTGTAAGAGATGTAGGTCTTGTATCGACCATGAAAAATTATATTATCTGAGTCTTAATGAAAACGAAAGTGTACTAATGCAAAATGCTGGGTGGTTCCCTAAGGAAATTAAAAAACTTGTGGCAGATTCTAAAGGTGTTGCAACAGTAGAGACAGAAAAAATGTTAGTTGATAAAGATGGAAACTTTAATGTTTGCATTCCCTTAAAAATGTTATCAGGTTTCTTTGAAGATTTTTTAGTATTAGTCAACAACTTCGACTAAATAAAATTGTTCAGAGTAATAAAGAATTACCAATTAAATTCCGTTCTTGGCAAATGATTGAATATGCTTCACTTAATAATTCCACTAGACATACTTGGGCTGTTAAAACAAGTACAAAAATAGAAACTCCAAGGCATATAATTATTGGATATCAAAAAAATAAAAAAGGTCAAATTAAACAGGATATGAGTAAATTTGATCATTGTAAACTCAACAACATCCGAGTATTTCTAAATTCGGATAGATATCCATACCACGATTTAAATTTAGATTTTACCAATAATAAATATGCTACATTATATGATATGTTTGTCAAATTTCAAGAAAGTTATTATCACTTTAATATAAATCAACCAATATTTAATCCACAAGAGTTTAAAGAAAAAGCACCCTTAGTACATATCGATTGTTCAAGACAAAAAAAAGTGATTCAATCCGGAAGCATTGTTCTAAGAATTGAATTTGAAACTGATGAGCCCACGTCAACGGATATATCAGCGTTTTGTCTCATATTACACGAAAAAGAATTTTCATATAATCCTTTAACAAAAACCGTAAAGCAATATTAATGCGCATGTCTCAAACTTAATATAAAACACATCCTTCATAGTTAATAATTTCATTTAATATGTCCGAGTATGAAGAGAAACTTCAAATTTATTTAAAAAAACTGCTAAAACTTAAAAGAGATATTGAATTGTACGAATTTGTAAAACTACTTGAAAAACTAAAAATATGAAACTCGTTGTGGATGTACATTTAAGCTAGAAAATAATAAATTTCTTGCAAAAGAATTTGCTGCTTATGATGGTTTTCGCATAAGTCATTATGTATTCAAGCCACTCTTTCCTCTTAGAATGCTCACTCCAGATTTACATAGACAGGCTTTATGGTTAATGAAAAATCATCATTATATTAATTGGGAGGAAGAGTTTACTCCTGTACACCAATTTGGAAATATCTTACAATCTTTAACAAAAGGAGTTGATATGGTTTACGTCAAGGGTATGGAGAAAGCAAATTATATAAAAAAATATTCTCCAGTTGAGTTTGATGAGCAACCAGCACTTCAACCAATGAAGTCCAAATGTTTTTATCATAATAATATTAATTGTATTTGTGCTGTATCAAATGTTTTTTTTTATAAGAAAGTTTTATAATGGAATAAATTTTAAAAATTCTAAAATGTTTTATTTATAAATACACCTAACATTAGGTTTGTTTATCAGAACCAACATGTGCGCCGATGATTACTCACACCTATTGCAATTGTTTGATCATAGATTAGAGTCTTATGCAAATTGGACTGGTGATGTATCTCCAATAGATTTAGCATTAGCTTGATTCCACTACATGGGCAAAGAAGATGTAGTTAGATGTTTTAAATGTGATATTGAGGTTTACAAATGGAAATCAGATGATGTACCAATTCTCGATCACTTGAAATTTAGTCCAAATTGCAGCTATGCTAGAATGATGAAGTCATGTCTACCAGCAAAGAATAGAATAAATACGTTTTTTGTAATAAGTGTTACACCATTAATAGTTAGCATCATTTATTACGCTGTGTTAAATAATATATAAGCCCTTCACACTAACGAATAAAGTCATTTACATCATGGGAGTGACACAGTTACCTCTTAATTCAACACCCTTTTAATACCAGAAAAGTGTATGTATGTTTTGATAGTAATGGGACAAGAGATGAGAGTTGGCCTTCTAAGTGGGTGAAAATGGAGACCTATACACCAAATAATGCTGCAACTCTAAAATCACAGATACCAGTACAATGTATAAAGTACGTATTGTAAAAGGAAATGGATCAACTAAAGACTCTGAATGGTTATCTCTTTACAACAAAGACCCCAAACAAATCTGAAAGCAGCAATATAAATGCATTATACATTACAATTTACTATATAGCTGTTTGTTCAACATTATCTGCTGCCGAATTATAAGAATTATTCAAAACTATGTTACATATTAGATTTCTTCAATAAATGTTTTTAAATATTTTTGTTTTATTAAAAATAAAAGATAATGGTATGTATAAAAATTTTATTGGGAAAATAATTCTAAATCAAAATCATTTACAAAATTAAATTATCTAAATCGCTCACTTCTTCCATCGCCTGTATTAAATCATCCAGGGTTCCAGTCATTGCTTTTGGGGTGGTAAGTAGATGCCCCCATGCCAGAGTGTTTACATCATGTGGTATGACATATCTCTTATCATCTTTAGCTGAGAGGGCTACCTTGTTTCTTAGTTCTGTGTAGATTGTATGTAGTGATGATACAAAAACATACATTTTCCTAAATATTGTATCACCATTTTGTATAATCCGGATGTAATCATTTACGTGAAGTTGATTTTTGATTATATTTTTCGAGACACCTTTAGCTTTCTTTATTTCTGTTTCCTTCTTCAAGGGCTTGCCTAGTTTTACACAATATGCCTTAGCTCCTGTGCCATAAAATGCATCAACTATAGTACCAGCAAACTCGTCTTTCATTTTTCCAACGATAGAATTTGTTATAGGCATCCCATATTCATTATTTTTGGAAAAATTGGAAGTATCAAAATGAGTGATGTTTTGTTTCATATCGTCATAAAAGTTACTAGTAAATACTTCTAAAATTAGGGAATCGGTGTCCGTATAACACAATTTTGCAGCATTGCCATATTTAGGTTCAATGTAGCCATATAAAAATTCGTATATTATGGTTTTTGAAATATCCAATACAGAAAATCCTATATACATGGGCTTGTCATAATATACTTTTACATTACCTAAATGTACTGCAACCAAGTTTTCATTGAATACGGAACATGTCTTGAATTCTGGTTTTGCTATTAGTGTCCTCGCACCTACGGATCCCTATGAATTTGCCCAATGGGTAGAAAGATGAATAGATTTCCTCTTCTCAACATTTTCCATGGTCTTTCCGAAGATTGCATTGACCAGCAGCTTAAAAAGATCTTTTTCGAAGTCATTATTTGCTTGGTTTCGGAGGGTGGTATTCAATTCGATATATTTTTTTAGCCACGACGATTCTAAAGTTCTATGAATTTTGATTAATTTTAATCCATATTTGAGACATTGTTTCAAGTTTCGGTAGTGAATAATATATTTTTCTTTATGAAATAAGTTTGGAATCAACTTTGGGTGTTTACCATTTGGTGGTATTATACTTTCAGGGCAGAAAGGTAGGTCGTTGTGGGAATCGTGCAAATTAATTGGATATTCTAAATCCACTTCTAAAACATATCCTTTGGAGGCATCGTCTTTAACTGAATTACAATCGAAATTTTCCACTGGTATCCATTTAAATCCGCCAAATGGAAGGGACTCGCTCATTGCTGCGCCATATAAATTGGTAGCATCAAGATACATGATATAACTTTCGGGTTTTGAGGGATTATAATTTGGTAGAAATTTATTATTAGCCATCGCTTGCCTCTTACTGCACTGTGCTACTCCTCCTCTGATCCCTTTTTTGAAAAAGTGTAGCATGTCAATATCTGTCAGTAATTCGAGTTCTATTTGTGTATATTTCAGCATTGCATCCCAACTTAGGGAGGGTGCGGTCAAGTAATGAGCAGGATCAAGTTTATATTTTTTCAAACACACTTTTCTAAAGTTTTCAAACACATCTGCTAACAGAAGCACGTCAGTCTTTAAATATAGTATTGCGTAATCGTGTTTTACATTTAAAAGTATTCCATACTTCTTTGGACCTATTATAGTCTTCATCGGTGATTGGCTCTCCTTTTAAGTTATCAAAAAATTTAGCTCTAGATGGTAGTTCCTCATCATCCAATTTTTGAAAAGAATCAATGTATGAATAAGGAAACACGCCCTTACGTCTCATTAAATTGAATTCTTTTTCGTTGGAGAAATATTTTCTAACTTCATCTAAAGAATCCAAAGTTTCACTGAGTTTATCAAGAGGTCTTTCCAAAAATCTAAGAGTCTACAAATCTCAGTTTTATAAATGAATCACGAACTTTGGGATCATCAGATTTTTCAACCAAAATAGATTTGGAAAACGAAATATATTTCTCCTTTGTTTGAGCTATTGCGGAGACAGATTCACCTTTGGTAGTCAATTCTTTAATAAACAAATGGCTGTCATAGTTTGTGAGATTTTGGAAAAACACCGGTATAAAATTTGGCACCTTATAATTCAAATTGCAGGAGTTATGGACGGCGTTCCTATATTTTCCCAGTAGACGGCAATGGTCCCGGACTTTTTTGTTGAATACATCAAAATGTTTTTTCACATATGTAACAGTTGGTCGCATTATCATATGCTTCCTGTTCTTTGGGGGTAAGTGGTTGCATGACATTTACATGCTTTAAATGGTTGTTGTATAGGTTATGTACAGTCTCATCTAGTTTTTGCACAAACACTTTGCCCGCATTTGGTCCTTTATACATCTCAAGCTTAGATAAACTGTCATCGTAACTACATTTCAGGTAAAATGCAAAAGAATATGGCTCGTGCTCACCTACTTTGACACTGAATGATTTGCCATTAATAGGTTCACAATTGTCTATTGGTTTTAACAACGATTCAAAGTCTGCATAAATAACAAACGGCACTAAAATATTATCCGGGGTGATTTGTCCGCACTTATTTTTTTTCATTTCATTTGTTGGTAGTTGTGTATACAGTATGGTTCAAATGAAAGGAATAAATTCATTATAATGGAAGTAGGTGGTTTTTCGAAAAAATGCTCGGCTAGGTCAATTTTGTTTACTAAAAGCGCAATTTTTTAAATAGAATTTAATTTTCCCCCACTTCCCATTTTTGGGCAGTGACGTCAGTGACAATTTTTTTAAATAGTAACCCCAATTTTTTTTCTTGATTTTGATAGATCTTGCAATTTCCTACTCGGAAACATAATATTTGAAATATCTGACATAACAATTTTTTTTGAATAAAAGTCATTTAAAGATCAGATACATAAATTTTATTTTATTTTGAAACACAATAAATAAAAGATTATTTGTAATTAAGTGCTCATCTAAAATAATAATAATAATAATAATAATAAAAAGAATTTAATGACAATTTCACAAATTCTTTTTTATTATTATTATTATTATTAATTATTTTGTTAGATTAAGCACTTAATTACAAATAATTATCTTTTATTCATTTATTGTGTTCTCAAAATAAAATAAAATTTATGTGTCTGATCTTTAAATGTCTTTTATTCAAAAAAAATTGTTATGTAAGATATTTCAAATATTATGTTTCCGAGTAGGAAATTGCAAAATCTATCAAAATCAAGAAAAAAAAATTGGGGTTACTATTTAAAAAAATTATCAATGACGTCACTGCCCAAAAATGGGAAGTGGGGGAAAATTAAATTCTATTTAAAAAATTGCGCTTTTAGTAAACAAAATTGACCTGTCCGAGCATTTTTTCGAAAAACCACCTACTTCCATTATAATGAATTTATTCCTTTCATTTGAACCATACTGTATATGTGTACAATCGTGTTCTTCATGTGCTTTTAACTTCTCCATATTTACAAAAGATTGTAAGCAGCCATCACAAATATAAATTTTTCCATCATGTTTTGTTTTCTGACTTCTAACAAGTCGTGGCAAGTCTGTAATAAGGTTATAATGATTGTTTCCATTACTATCTGATACTAGCAACAGGTTGTCGGTTGGAAGTGAAATGTAATGGACCAACAACTTCATAATTGTTTTTAGCGTCTCGGAAAAATGATTCAAGTCCAAACACATTCACTGATATATTATTCATAAACTCGAATTTTTTAATGTCTTAATTTTACGGGGAAGTCGATACCTGTAAAGTCTAACATTGTATCATAATGTGGGTATGATGATGGATACTTAGGATTCCCCTCGGCAGGAAAAATTGCTGCATTGATGGACCAAGCGAAACAAGCGTTATCTTTGTTTTCAATATTCAAGACAGCATTTCTTTTCATTATTGTCACAGGTAGCTTGATATATGAAGAAGCTGCAACACTATTGAAACGGTTTATGTTCACATCTAAAAACATTATCTCCTGTAAACTCCAATTAGAATCTTTTTCTTGGAATTCAGAAGCTTGTGTCATAAGTTCGGATTTAAATTCACCATATACTTCTTCTAGATTAGACGATGTGGTAACAATTTTGTTTGGAGAATTCATGGATTCGATATCACTCATTTCCTTATCAGGTTTAACATATATCCCAAATACTTCCATATTTATTTTTAAACTTGTGTGTTGTTGCAAATATTCACTGATTTTATTTATAACCTTTGGTTTGACTCCATTAAAAAAGTCATTGTAACTTATTTTATTTTCATCACTGCTGTAAAATCTGTATGATGCAATTCGATTCTTGAAAGCATGAGTTAGTTTAGTAACATCACCATCCAGTACTTCAATGCCTATTGGTCTTGGTCTTTTTTTCCACACAAAAAGCGAGCTGGTGTCGCTTCAAAGTATATGCGTTGGAAAATAATTTACCACACTTCTTACACTGCATATTGTTAACTCGCCGTATATTACGAAACTAGAAAACGCAATGAATGCGGAGTTACTTAAATAGAAAGAGGTCACGTGACTTATCATTATAATGTATATGTCATATGTTTGCCAGATGTTAAAAAATTGCAGTGTCGTATTATATGCATGTGTGTTAAAAATATTCCGTGAGAAATTCGTTATCATTCCCAGATATATTAAATTACATGCCAGATGGTCAACATGTGTTCGCCTGAGAAAATGAAGTCGTTATCATTCCCAGAGATATTAAATTACATGCCAGATGGTCAACATGTGTTCGCCTGAGAAAATGAAGTCGTTATCATTCCCAGATATATTAAATTACATGCATATATTACAACAGGATGCAGGTGTTCACCAGATGGTTTGCACATTTTGCTCTGTCATGGGGTTTGCACATTTTGCTCTGTCATAAGGTTTGCACATTTTGCTCTGTCATAGGGTTTGCACATTTTGCTCTGTCATTTCCCCTCTACTACCCTGGATAATAAATATTTTAATAGGCCAAGAAATTAATGGAAGGTTTATTTACTGATAGAATAATAGAAACCAGAGCTAAATAAATATATTATTTTCTCTAATAGTTTGATTTAGGAATGAAGTAAGATTTCAGCAAAGGGTATACTATTTCTTTCGACTGTATATGTAAGGAGGGGTGACCCTTCAGGTCACTTAGGCCTCAATAGGTCTATTGTGCATCCATCAGGGGAATTTAAGACCTGCCTCTCAGCTCTCCAAAACGTCTGCAGATTGATATATAACGTCACTGAGAGCTGTCTAGGAACCACCTCTTAGATCATCAAAAGGCCTGCATGTCTGCTTGCGATAAAATTGCACATTAAATGTTCCTGTCTTGATGAAAGTTTACAACTACGACATATTTATGACTTTTTTAAGCTATTGCATTGCTTTTATCGCGGGCTTTGAGCGCGGCGACCGAATCAAAAAATTCCGTAACACCGTAACGAAAATAAACCTAACACCCCCACTCCGACCGGCACAGCGGTGCGGCGTTAAACAATATTAACTTCTCATTTATTCAATAAAAGAAAATCGAAAAATCAAAAAACAGAAAAATCGAAAACCGAAAAATCAAAAAAGAAATTCTGTAACGAAAATAAACCTAACACCCCCCCCCCCCCCCCCACTCAGCGGTGCGGCGTTGAAAGTAGTGCATCGTCTAACGTCGTTTCAGTTCGGCAGACTTCGGCTTGGTGTTTGTGTGCGTGCGACTAGACGTATGCGTGTAGACTAGCTGCTAACTGCTCGTAACCGATTCTATCTCTTTTAGACACAATTTCGGAAAAATTGAATTTGAAAATGAATAATGGTCCACAAGAATCCACAACAAAATATGGGACCACCATTGACGCGGTATTTTCCAGATATTTAGAGGATATCAAGTCTCAAACTTATGTTTCTTATTTCAGTTAGCATAAACCTGTAGTTTCAATGATAAAAATTCCTGAATAACCTACATGTATTGTAAGATAATAAAAATATTTTAAACAATATTAACTTCTCATTTATTCAATAAAATAAAAAAAATTGTTTTCTTATCGGTCACCACGCTCAAAAAGTGTAATTAATATCAAAGAAAAAAATACTGCATAAATAAAATAAATAAATAATTATAATTGCATAAGTTGATAAAAAAGGCTATGCAATAGTTTTACCGCGGAAGTCCCGAGTGCCATACGTATTTTTTTGAATTTTAAATCAGTCCACCAACAAAATATAAAAAGTCCCAAATAATAAATAATATTTCACTTAACGTCCATGACCGGGAGATATAAACCTCATTGATCCCGTCCCTCCCGACTTGAAGGTTAAGTTGTTAAAAGCCTGATTTACACCACACATACAACTTTATAGCAACCGCGAATACTAGAATAGCTACTTTTGTCAAAGTTGTTGTACGGTTACTACAAAAATAATACAACTTGTAAGTCTGGTGTAGATCAGGCTTTTAACAACTTAACCTTCGAGTCGGAAGTGCCGGGACGTCAAGTGAGGTGTATAATTTTATCATTTGGAAATGGTTGCATTTTGTTGGTGGATTGCCTTGAAATTAAAAAAAAAACAATACAGCAAAATGTATTATGTAATTTTATCTCAAGCAGATCTGCAGGCCTTTTGACGATCTGAAAGGTGGTAGCATCTAGAGGATGCACAATGGGGCTATTGAGGCGTAACTAATGTAAGGGCACATCTTACAGATACAGATTACAAGCAATAAATAGTAAGCTTTGTTGAAGTCTTATTTTATTCCTAAAACAAATCATTAGAAAAAAATGGATAAGTTCCGATTATCTTATCAATAACAAACCTCCTATTAATTTCTTGATATATTTAAATGTTTATTATCCAAAGGTCCATATTTCTTTCTCATCATCTCGGCATGTTATAGGTCCCACTTGAATGGAAATAATAAAAATCGTCCTTTTAGTTTGTGTAACTGGACCATTTTAAAAGCAGCCAATCATTGTTCAATAACGGTGATCGTGACGAAGAATACCGAGTGGGTGCGAAGTGAGAATTCGGGTGAGATCAGGAGGAAGATCGATGGAGAGAGAAATATGAAAAAGGGTTTTTGGTTTGGTAGTTTTAATTTCAAATTATTAAAATTTAAGGGCCTAGGAGTTCCCTGCTATTACAATTTCTATATCGAGGGAAGTTCTGGGTAAAATACTTTACCGATTTTTTTTTTATATTAGGTTTATCCTACTTCAATAAAGTATCTATCTATCTAGAACACACGCAATATAAGGGAGACACACGAAAGTGCAAGCACAAAAAGTCCCCGCTTGTGGGGCCAGTCGCTCGGTTGAGATGCATAATTTGAGAAATTGAGGTTTAGCCTCGCCTAGATGCCGATTAAAGGTTGTGCAGCTTGTATCTGCCAACACTAAGTGAGGTTAAATTTAATTTCCTATATTTCTATCTCTGATGGTGGATGGTTTATTTTCAATCGCACGTCCTACAAGTCAGCACAAGAAATTTATAATAGAAGATTTGGTAGTGCCTACCCTATTACTAAAGCTGACAATTCAATAGAATGTTTTTGAAATTTAACTAGCTATACATCTCATTTTTTTTTTAATTAAACAAAATTATTTACCTGTAACTCCACTGCGTTCTTCAAGATTTTTTATTAATAAAATCGTACTAAATGGACGAACTATTAAATGTAAAATACATACAGCAGCTGAAAATTTTTCTCTAGCCCCTAAAACAAAAAAAATATATACATTTTTAGATAAAAAAAAAATAATAATTTATAATGAACTTACTATCATCACCTCCAGGAAAACTCATTACCAAAAGAATAATATCTAAAACTACTGAGCTTCCATTTACTACAATTGCCTAAAAAATAAAATGTTACAGTTTGTAAAAGTGCTTCAAAGATAATGGTTATGCTATTCATTATCGGTTCGGGATAATTCTCGAAGAGGGAGACATGGAACACACCATCATCAGTGGGGACGACACCCTCATCCATGAGAAATAAAATATTATTTTTATATTTACAAAAGATCAATTAGGGATCGTACTGTCGTAATGATCCAGGAACCGTGGGTCTACGGAAACCAGGTAAGAAGACTTATATGTAAATATGCAAGGGTAATTTATCACACTAATGATGAAGTACCCCGAACATGCATTATGGTAAGAAATATTATTAAATATTCATGTCTTTCAGAATTCATGACGCGTGATCTCGTCTTAATTCGAGCCTCGAATTTGGGATGAGGCGACTAGACATAGTATGTTCTTGTGGTCTAGACCTAGAATAAAATGTATAAATCCCGGGTCGAAGAACCAAAAATAATAGTGATGTCAAATCTGAATTTTTCTCCCCCCTGGTAATTGATTCTGCGAACAATTACTACTTCATTTGTCTCTGTCTAATGCCTTCTGGCCTTCTGCCTGGTCGTTTTCCCTTTCTTTTCTTCTCAAATCCAGAATGCATAATTTGTTCACAGGACGTCGTAATTGGTTCCCATTAGCAGTAAGAACATCGACTACTCTTACTTTTCCGTCCTTGGCTGGATAAAGTTTCACAACTTTCCCTTTTGGCCAAAGGTTCCTAGGATTATTGGAATCTACAATTAGGACTATATCTCCCAGCTGAATACATTTTTTATCTGAAAATCATTTATTTCGTTTAACCATGGAAAGAAGATATTCTCGCAGCCATCTTTTCCAAAATAAGTCAGCAATGTTTTGTGAACATTTCCATCTATGCAGCAAACTTATATTCTCCTCACTAACATCAATACAAGGCATTGCTATGTAAGCGGGACCAATTAGAAAATGATTTGGGGTTAATGGTTCGGGGTTGTCAGGGTCAAGTGATACGTGTGTAAGTGTTCTTGAGTTTAAAATATTTTCAATTTCCGCAAGAGCTGTTCTCAAAACTTGTTCTTGAGGTGTCTTGGTTTTTAAAATTTCTTTAATAATTTTCTTGACGCTCTGAATAAGTCTCTCCCATGCTCCTCGCATGTTTGGGGCATTTGCTGGGTTCCAAATCCATTTAATTTCTTTGACGCAACAAAACTTATTGATCTCGGATTGATTCAGTTTTACATTTTCCGATAGCTATCGTTCTGCACTCTTAAAATTTGAACCATTGTCGCTGAACACTGTTTCAGGAAATCCGCGTCTTGCTCCAAATTGTCGGAATACATGCATGAATACGTCAGTACTTAAATCATGAGCAATTTCTAAGTAAATCGCTCGAGTTACCATGCAGGTGAAGATAACTCCGTAACGTTTTTCTCTGCTCCTTCTAACTACAACTTCTAATGAACCAAAGTAATCTACTTCAGTATTTATAAAGGGTCGAATTGTTGGTTCAAGACGACAAGGTGGCAACTGTCCCATTAAAGGTGGTTTAGGTAAAGCTGTTCTGTTCTTACATTTCTGACATTTGGCCCAACAGCTTCTGACTGCTTGTCTCATTTGAAGAATCCAATATTTTTGCCTTAAATTATTAACAACAGTCTCTTGTCCATGGTGGTTCACCTCTTCATGATGATGATGAATTAGCAAAGTAGTTATGTCATGTTTAGGATTTAAAACAATTGGATGTTTAATGTTGCTGTCTAATTGTGTAGATTTTTCTAATCTTCCACCTAGTCGAAATAGACATTCAGATTTATCATATGTACAATTTAAAGTATATAACCTAGAGCTAATAGACAACTCTTTTTCTTGTGAAAGAAAACAAATTTCTTCTGAAAAACAGTCCTCTTGCACATTTCTTAGCAATAATGTTTCAGCATTCTTAATCTCTTCATGATCTCTTCTATGCTTCTTGTTTTTGCAATTCCAAAAATATCTTAGTAACCATGCAGTAGACCTTAAAAGTGTTAACCATTTTGAAAATCTTTTTGGATCAGGGAGAATTAACTTATCTCTAATTTGCAACAGAAACGTAAATTCTTTCCATTCTTCGGTTTCTTCAACATTTACCTTGCCATCGTTTTCCAAAGGCCAGTTTTCTGAATTTTTTAACAAAAATAATGGACCATTAAGCCACCTACTTTTTGAGGAAAAGTCAATAGTTTTAAAATATTTCGTAGCTTCATGAGCGACGTTTGATTTGAATTCAATGTACCTCTATTTCGAAGTGTTTGATAGCTCCTGGATTTTACCTACTCGGTGAGCTACAAACATCTTAAAGCGTCGTGCTTTGAAGTACGGTCATTGAATCTGTCCAAAAAAATATTGAATTTAATTTCAAATCTAAATTATTTTTTATAAAATGTCCCAATCGAGCCCCCATCAAGGCAGCTTGAAGTTCCTGTCTTGGCACTGACTGTGGTCGTAAAGGAACCACTTTAGTTTTGGAAGTTAGAAAATAGACCTTTATTTCTGTTTTATCTTGCCATCTAAGATAGGCTACTGTCGCACTAGCATTTTCAGAAACATCACAAAAAACATGAAGGTGTATTTGGCAATTACCTCTGTCAAGTATTGTCTTTGTATTTCGAATTTAGAAATATTTTTTAAAATATCTACCCAATTATTCAATTTTTCCAATAAATTATCCGGAATTTCGTCATCCCATTCAATTTTTGACCTCCAAATATCCTGAAGAAATATTTTACCTTGTATCATAAAGTTAGATATAAATCCAAGAGGGTCAAATACTGACATTACTACGTTTTGACGGTCGTTTAGTTTTGTCAAGTATACTTTTTTCAATTTTATAAAATTTCGTTTTAAAACAAAATGTATCTTTGTCAGGGTCCCAGAAAACACCTAAGATTCTTTCCGTTGAAAGGTCTAAAGATTTTTGACTTTCTGCTAGTATAGACTTATCTAAATGACTTTTTTTGTTTGTTACCCTGTTACATATATTAAATCCTCTCCGCTTATGTACGGATATTACTTCACTTATTAATTTCCTTGCTGTCTCTTTTGAATCCGCGGATCCTAAATAATCGTCCATGTAATGATAATTTATGATAGCGTTAGAGGCTTTGGATACTGTTCTTGAAAAACCAGAGCATTTCTGTTTTTGTAGACTGCGCTAAACATGGTCCACAGCTAGAACCAAAGAATACAACATTGATATCATAAATATCAGGCTCTCGGTTTCGTTCCATGCCCCTAAAAAGTATTCGTTGTACAGCTCGATCTTTAGTGCAGAAACATTTCTTTTATGTCGGCAGTAAAAGCGTAAGTCTTTAATCTAAAATTTAATAAAATCGTTTGTAATTAATTATATAAATCGGGACCTGTAAGAAGACAGTCATTTAAGCGTTTAAACGATGAAGAAGCGTTAAACACAATCCGTAGTTTTTTGGTTTGTTGTAACCCCAAAGTGGGAAAGGTACCACAGTCTTTGGTTAGATTCCAGTACATCTGAAGTCAGTTTCGAAATATAGCCCTTATTTTCCATGTCTTTTATTTTTTCACAATAGTTTAATCCAAAATTCTTATCTTTGTCCATTTTTTTTTTCGGTACAAAGCAGTCTTTTCATAGCCATGTCCTTACTCTCGGGTAAAATTACATTGTCGTTTTTCCATAGTAATCCAACTTATCCCCTATTCTCCTTAAAGTCCTGTCGAGAATTTCTTGGGCTCTGATATCTTCTTTGGACATACTGTTAGCTTGGCAATCAAAAGTTTCTTGTTTCCATTGATCTTTTACAAGATCATGTAGTAGATCTAAGTCATCTTTGACTTTTGAGTCAAAAAAATTAACCATTTATTCCACTGCTACAAAATTTAAAATAACCATGGTACATATCCAAAGAAGGTGAATATCATTCATATACCAGGAAATATGCAAATAAAATTATTTTTATTTATTACCTTGAAAACAGATAAACAATGAAATTTACTAAGAGTTGTGAGTCCTGAGCAATTTGGACTCATAATTCAGGCAATAGGTAAATGATTTGTTTAGGAAATTGAATATTAAAAGTAAGGCTGCTCAAAAAAGTCAGAGTGTTGAAAAAAAAAAGATTTTTTTTTAGGAAAATGGAATCAAAAATAAAGCTGCTTAAGAAAGCTTTTCACAAATATTTAGATATCTATGGCTTCTTTATAAATTAATATAATGAGAGAACGATAAATTTATTTGAAGTATTTAGGGTTGCCAACATTACAGTTATGCTAATCCGGAGAAAAAAAAATTGTTGAGGAATACACAAGACCTTTTTTTTTAGTTCGTCGCATTTAAAATCATCCACTTGCTGGTCCTAATGACCTTCCGGAGAATTTTAACCTAAACCCAAAGCCCAGAGAATGATCGCCAAACCCGGAGACTAAAGGCTAAAATGACGTTGTTGGCAACCGTAGAAGCATTGTATAAGATATATTTATACAATGGTAGAAGTATTAAAAGTTGCTGTTCAAAAATGAGAAGTATTTTCCAACAGATGCTTTAGTTACTCTCTTTATAAACCTGTATAAGTAATGTAAAATAATACTATATAGTTAACGTAGGAACAAAATATATTTCATTATTCAATCTCTAGTTAGCTTTACCCCCTTTAACCCCTTAAGGACCGATTCCACCGTTGTGTTAAAAGGACATTTTTATATTAACAATGTCATTTTAATCTCCGTTTAACACAACGGTGGAATCGACCCTAAGTGGCTAAGTCGTTTATATCCGGATTTAAACAAATATTTATTGATGCCTTTGATAAATATACAGTATGACAAGATTGAAATGGTGAGTTAGAATTAGATGTACACTGGCAAAAATTTAAAATAGATAAATTTGTCAACACTGCACAAGTGAACACAAATAGATCACTGAAACAATAGCATCGAAGTTCAGTTATTAATTAAGATAACTCTTCCATTTTTAGATTTGCCAGTGCACATCTAATTCTGACTTA